CTTGATATAACTTATTATTAAACGTATAAGTAATAAGTTTAATGAGGAAAAAGAGAGAGAGAGAGAGAGGGAGAGAAAGAGCTACAGGTAACNGCTAAAGAAAGTGCAGCTGTTTTTAATTTAAATATTTGTATTCGATCGGCCTTGATATAACTTATTATTAAACGTATAAGTAATAAGTTTAATGAGGAAAAAGAGAGAGAGAGAGAGAGAGAGAAAGAGAGGGAGAGGAAGAGCTACAGGTAACCGCTAAAGAAAGTGCAGCTGTTTTTAATTTAAATATTTGTATCCGATCGAGTAAGCAATAGAAGAAGCTATGTGAAAAATAATTCTTTAATATTTATCATTTCATACCGGGAAATTATTCATAGATGATTTGCCATAAGAATGAAAAATATGACCAATTATTGAAGAATGACTTCCCGATATGAAAATGGATGATTTTTTTTTTTCCCCTATAAAGTAGTCAATCAGGTATAAATAGATAGGTGTATGTTACACATAGATGTGAAGAAGAAATGATATCGAATATTTTTCAGAATAAAATTTTATACCATAAATAGAATTTAAATGAAGATAATTAGGGTTATGGTGTGGAAGATCTTTCTCGAATTCGTACTTTCATCTGGCATTCGTGCCTTTTTCAGTTCATTGTATTTTTTAAAATAGTTCCAGGAGATTCATTTGTAAAATTATTGTTTTGAATGCGTTTGTGATAGCAAAGTTTATATATATATACATTTTTTTGCTAAACCGTAATCCCATGGACATCTATTTAATCTTTTCTAAACTTTATTTTATGCAAATTTTACAAGTAATTAACTTTTTTTTTCAAAAATTTTATTAATCCATAAAATAACTGTTATCAATTTTTCTTCCTATCCCTTTTTCCACTTCTTATTAATCTTATTCCATTTTAAAACTTTCCAATTGCTACTCTCGTAAATTATGCAGAAATGTTAAATAATTTTGGAATAAATAAATATTTATGCTGCAATGGATTCAAAATTTTAAATCAATATTTTTAGAAGAAAAAAACATACACTTTTCAAAAAAAAAAAGAAGACAAAAAAAACTAAAATAAGTAAAAATAAGTAATTAAGTAAGGAAAAGAAGTAATCACCTATTCGATCAATTAATCTAACCATAAAAATTATAGGCAGTACAAATTAAACGTGAGAGAGAGGTGTGTATGCCTATTTATAAAAGACAAAATGAAAATCATTTGACAAATCAAATAATAACAAATTAGTATTTTTTTGCGTGTTATAAATGAGAAAATTTTTGTTAAAATTTGCACGACAATATAAACAGGTTATATTTGAAAAAAAAGAAAAAAAAAACTGGACAATAAAATATATCACTAATTTTAGTGGTACTGACAGATCATAACGTTTACAAACTAAACCGTATTTTTTTTTTTTGACAATAGCGCTCCATATTTTCAAGCATTTTAAACAATATTAAAATATTTCATTCATTAGATCTCTATTGATAAATGCAATAATATTCATTCATTTTTCAAATGGATAAAAGTTTAACAGTTATAATTTTATGCATAGAGCAAAAAAAAACACTGATTTAAATAAATTTTAAAATTATGAATGAAAATTATTGATCAAAGAGATACCGAAAAAGAACTGTTTCAAATGAAGGCACGGTATATCTTTGAAATAATATAATAAAATATAGCATAATTATTTTAAAGTAATAATTTTTTAGCATCAAATAATTTCTCAATATTTGTATTGTATTGAAGAAGGAAAAAAAAATTTTTTTAGCAAAATTGCATCAGTGAAATTTCGATTTATTTGTAAATGTCAAAATATTTGAATGTTAATTTGTCCATTAAGTTTTTCCTTTTGTTACTGTTTACATTATTCCTGCAATGGATTTGATGGATTTGCAAGTTTATTCAGATGTAATTAATGTAAGCAAATAAGCCATCGAATTTCATTTTGAACATGAAAGAGCTTATTGAATGACAAATTTATTGCATAAAATAGATGAAAATAGCTTTATGATTGTTTAGCAATATTAGGCACAATAATTTTTTGAAAAAATGCAATTAATCATTTATCAGATGAATTTGGCAATTAATTTAACAGCTGAAGATGAATTTTGTTGTGTGTACTAAAACAAATATTCGGAATACCAGGACCAATAGATTACCTGAAATGAAGGAGCAGTTTAATTTTTGTACAAAATATTTGAAAAATTTGATCGAATATAACAATTGATACAGAGAGTATGAAATTAGTTCAGTATTAGCCAATAATTTTTATCTATCTTTGCAAGTTATCTAGCTAAAGTTAACTAAGTTGAAATTATCTCGTGAACTTGCATTAAAGCATGCAAAAAATGCAGGAAACATGATGCTTGATAAACGATCTATACGATCCGGTGTCCAAGAAGTAGATTTCCAGCGTGATCGACACCACTTCAATTCAAATCCTTCCACCGGAAACATAAACCTTTTCTCGAATTCGCAAACGCCTTTTGGGCTTGATTCTACTCCTTCGATCTAAACTGATATTTTGTATAAATTGATTAACTCGTGTTAATTAATTAAATCTTGATCGGTGTTATAAATTTTTGCTGATCAATCATGAGAGATTAATTAGTTTCGTCGGGATCAAGATTATTAAATTTCTTTTTAGGATTTATCAGAGATATCAGTGATAAAAATCACTGTTGTAGTTTCCTAACTCATAATTCGAAAAAATAAACTTACATTTTTACAATGCGGCTTTCTTGGTCTTTGACCACTTTCCATATTTTTCACCTTTGAACCGATTATTGCTAGCTCAATTAATGATGAGAATATGAAAGTCATTGAGACTAGCATCCATACATCTGAACAATTTCAATGGTTACATGATCTCATGGCTTATAGGTACAAGGTCAAATGATTAACTTTTTTAGTTCATTTATTTGGCTGAAATGATTCGGTCATTTTATCATGCAAATTTTTTCTAATACAAATTTATTTATATTCACTAGAATTAATGTTATTTCTATTTTCTAATATTATTAATTGATCTAATAAAATAATTTATTACTTTAAATCAAAATTTCAAAATTGAAGATTTTAAAATTTTTTAGAAGTTAAAAAATTTGAGCTACTATTTTTTGAAATCTTAGTATAAAGGTATTTAAATTCCTAACCGATAGCTTTGATATATGATACTCTCGGCAAATTTCGCATAATATTGCCAAACTGAAATATCATTGCTAGCAAAGCATTAACACCAAGCATTGTTCGGGCAGGTATTGCTCGTGGTCCCAATGAAAATGATACCCAACTATAAAATGAAGTTTCAAAAAATGAAATTTTTTTTTTTGGAAATTTTCTTTAAACTTCGAATTTTACAATTTTACAATTTAAAGCTCATAGTATTAATTTTTTGTAGCAACTTTTTCCTCTATTTTGTTAGGTATTTCATAAACCCATAAATTTACAAGAAAATTTAGTATTCTTAAGTAAATGTATCATTTGAAGATTAATTTTAAATTTTGAAAACTTTTAATTTCGTCTCATTTGATCATAAAAATAGCATATTATTGGATTATTTCTGCGTTAATTATATATTCATTTATTTAATGAAAATAAAATGCTAAAATATGAGAGTAAAAAGTTTTGATTATTAGTTCTATGGTTATTGATGCAGAAAAATTTCCAAAAAATTTTTGATTTTGCTCAATTTTAAATGTACTTTCATGAGCACTATGATTTCTTTCAATCAATAAAGTATCAAAATCAATTACCTGATAAAAATGGTAAGATAAGTGGGAACATATGCTTGCATAAAATACCATACGCAACGCCTTTCGAATGTAAAATTCACATGCAATTCATCCCACATTCCAGCCGGATATTTCTAAATTTAAAATGATAGTAAATTTACAACTTTGAATTGTCAATTTCCACGATAAGAATTAAAATTTCGTTCACATTCATTTTTTAATTTAAATTCTAGTTGTACTGGTGGCACCAAAAAAGTTTAATTAACTAAACGAAAATGCGGTTTAATGTACATTTTAATTTCATTATCTATTTGAATATTTATTTAGAAATTGACATTAGGATTAAGAATTTTCCAAATTATAAGAATTACTGCAAAATAAAATATTTTTATTTCAATGTAACAATTGCTATGATTTTTGAAGCAAATTTCTTGAAACCATAAAATTGAGGCGTTGAATTGAACAAAAAAAAAAATTCTATACCTCTATCCTAAGTATTGGTGTAATATTAATTAAAATGAAATCCGGTAGTAATATTTCATTGACAGCATAAACAGGATTTGAATTAATCCAACGCATTCGTACTTCTTGATTATTATAGTTAAAACTGAAATATGTATTCTATAAATTTGCAACTTTTAATTTGTCAATTTTTAAACAATTCACTTATTGAAATGTTACGTGCTTGTTTTATTTTTTATTTTTTATTTTTAATATTGTTGACATTTTGCATTCATACCTTTCATAAATTAAATTGCAAGTTTGCACATCCATTGGAAAATTTGACAAATCCATGATGCATGGTCCTTTCACGCGAACTCTCTGTAGTAAACAACAAACAATTGTCAGTATTAATTTCATTTTGAATTCGTTTAATCGAAAGAACGAATATGAAAATAAAATTTGTCCATCCTTCGGATTGACCGCTTAAAAAATTGAAATTTTACAGTATTATTATCGAAATGTTTGTTTGATTTAAAGCAAAATTTTGAATTAGTAATAAAATATCCATTATTGATTCTGACTTTTCTGGCTAATTACAAATTACTGTGATCATTATTAACCGAAAAATTGAAAGTAAAAGAGACTTACATAATTGACCCAAACAGTACCATTTGGATAAAGCATTAGGAAAATATTCCTAAAATGCTAAAATAACTACCATTTATTTATTCATCCAACTATTTTAACTTTATTTCATATGAAATGTATTGATTTCTTCATCAAATAAATTAATTATTTTTTTTATTTCTTGAATAAATGAACTTTTCTGGAATGAATATACATTTTCATTTATTACATTCGATAAAAATTAATATTCAAAAAGAAAAAAAAAATCCCTGAAAGGTGATTCATGAATTTCGGCAATTTTACTGTTGATAAAGCAGCTATTCGGTGTCCAAAGTCGATCCAGAACCTGATGATTTAGCGATAAATTATCCTTGCATGGATTAAGATGCTCAAAATTCAAAGCCGGATCAAGCCACATTTCATTGATATAAATTTCCATCTAAAAAGAAGAAAAAGAAAAACTCGAATCTCACCCATTCATTATTTTATATTATTACTTCAACTGATCATTAACTTTTTATTTAATCTTTCACCATTTGTTCCAGTAATTTTTGTTTGTCATAAATTTTAATTAAGTGAATGTGCTATTTTTTTTTAATGAAACGGTTAAAAATTGTAAGAAAAAATTTTAATGATAATGCCGAAAATGATGAACAATACAATGAAACAGCAATGATTTTGAAATAAAGAAAAGATAAATTTCAATTTAAAAAAAAAAAAAAACATTTTAAGAAAACTTCATCATTTCCTTTGAAATTTTCATAACTTTCTCTCAAAAATTTCAATTGACACAAAAACTAAAACAATTTGATTATTTAATAACTAAATTATAAACATATTGTTTCGTTAATTAATATAAAGTTATCAAATTTACCTCAAAATCATTGGTAATTTCATTAATTGATGTAATTGCTTGTATCCAAAATTCCACAGAAACATCAACGCCAGTTTCCACTGTAAAATATTTTTATTGTAAATTTGAATATTGCAAAGAAAAAATCGTTGAATATGAAAGTGGTAAATTTGAATTATTATTCGAAGACTATAATTTCTACTTCACTTTGTTTCCTTTTTTTGAGAGCATTTCGAATGAAAAAATTTAAATTAAATTTAATAGTAAAAGACACATTGTAATATAAATTGAAAAGTGTTAATTCTTAGGTCGATTTTCATTTCTATACTTTAAAATTTTAAATTCTTCTTCTCTTCTTTATTGTTCAAAAAGAGCAACCACATAAAGCATTTAATGAATTGATAACATTCCAAAAAAAAGATCATAGAGC